TTTATTTATTTATTTATTTATTTATTTATTTATTTATTTATTTGGGGCTGTAGAGATGGCTCAGCAGTTAAGAATACTGGCTGTTCTGCTGAAGACCCGGGTTCAAATCCCAGCACCCACATGGCAGCTAACAATTGTTTGTAACTCCAGTTCCAGGGGATCCGACACCCTCTTCTGTCCTCCTCGGGCACTGCACAACATGGGCTGACTTACCTACATGCACACAATCTACACATACACATTAATAAATAAAATATTTAAAAACTATATATTTAAAAACTAAAAAGAAAATCAATTGTTTTCTCAACTTGTTTTAATAGTAAGAAATACAACACTGTGCGGGGAGTGGTGGTGCATGCCCATAGTCCCAGCACTTGGGAGGCAGAGGCAGGCAGATCTCTGAGTTCAAGGCCAGCCTGGTCTACATAGTGACTTCCAGGCCAGCTGGGGCTACAGGGAGACCCTGTCTCAGAAAGACCAAAAAAAAAGAAATACAACACTGTACAGAAGTAGATCACCATTAAACTATCTTTGGTGCCACAAAGACTGAAGAGAGATGTTATGTAAGAGGACACAACTGAGAAAGAAGACTTGAGGGAAGAATGCAGGCCAGTTTTGTGATGGCACAGCACTGATGAGCATGAGCCAAAGCAAGAGTTCCTGTGCAGTGGCTTGGACACAAGTGGTCAACAGCATTTGCCACTTAGCCATCTTGAATTCAGATTGCCAGCATACATGTAAGAAGCTGGATATGGTGGTACACAATTGCAATCCCAGCACTCGGGAGGCAGAGGCAGGCAGATCCTGGGATCCGGCCAGCCCAATCAGTGAATTCTAGGTTTGTGAGAAACTAGCTCATAATACAAGGTGCAAAGTGACTGAGAAGACACTCAATGTTGACCTCTGATCTCTACACAATTGTACACACACACACACACACACACACACACACACACACACGCATGCACACACACCACGCTCACAAAACAAAGTGCAAAAGGTTACAATACTTTTTTTTTAGGAATATTACTTTTTAATTTTTTTTAACTTAATAACATTAATTGCAATGATCTCACAAATGAAAACATCGCACAGCTAGATTAAAGTAGCCACTCAAACAAACCCTTGCCCAATATCAAACCCTATCTATCTCAATGAACTTCTGTACAGCTAGAATAGCCATTTCAAAGGCACAGAATTTCATTTGCAGTTTTACCCTTTTATTATCAATTTCATTCTTATGGAGTTATCCACCACAAAAAAAGGAAAAAACTAGGGGCTGGAGAGATGGCTCAGTGGTTAAGAACACTGACTGTTCTTGCAGAAGACCCGGGTTCAAATCCCAGCACCCACATGGCAGCTAACAGCTGCCCATAACTCCAGTTCGGGGGCTCCGATGGCCTCTTCTGTCCTCTGTCGGCATTGCACAACACGGGTACACTTACCTACATGCAGGCAATACATGCATACACATAAAATAAAATAAAAAATAATAAAATATTTTTTAAAAAAAAGGAAAAAACTGTGACAAAGTTGAAACTAAAAAAACAATTAGCTTCATATCCTCTTCCATGACACATGTGTCCTTGCATGCATTCCCTTCTTCCTCATCACCTAACATGACATTTGTGTGGTCTCCTTTCTAAATGTTGTACTATACCTACACCTTCAGTTGTTAGCATATATCATGTATATATTATATTATTATATTATACTTATTATGGACAATGATCCACATATGAGGGAGACTATGCAGACAATTATTTCTTATTAGGTAAAGAAAAATAAAGTTTCTCATTCACATAATCCCAGAGAAAGCCAGAATTTCATATTATAACTCAATATGCAAATTCAACTAGCTAAAGGCTATTTCTCATTTTAAAATTCAATATAGTTTTAAGTGTAACTATTCAAATGAAAATCATACAAAAAACTTATGAGTAATAAACATTTAAAAGATTTTACTAGGGGCTACAGAGATGGCTCAGCGGTTAAGAACACTGGTTGTTTTTGCAAAAGACCCAGGTTCAAATCCCAGCACCCACACATGGCAACTAACAGATGTCCGTAACTCCAGTTCCAGGGGAATCCGACAGCCTCTTCTGTCCTCCAGGCATTGCATGACATGGATGCACTTACCTACATGAAGGCAATACACGCATACCCATGAAAATATAAAAATAATAAAATATTTAAAGACTTTACTAAAGAAATGTTAGAAAGCAGCAATTTTATTTTTTATTAGCTTTATTTTCATTTTATGTGTATGAGTGTATTGCCTGCATGTGTGTAAGTGCACCAGTGTTGTGTGCAGTGCCCACAGAGGGCAGAGGATGCCGTCGGATCCATTGGAACTGGAGTTATGGATGGTTGTTAGCTGCGATGTGGGTGCTAAGAATTAAATCTGGGTCCTCTGAAAAAGCAGCCAGTGCTCTTAACTGCTGAGCCATCTCTCCAACCCCAGAAAATCCCCATTTCAGTGAACAAATACAACTTTCACATCATTTTCATATAGCTAAAAATAAAAGAAAATGCATATGGATAAAAGCTGAAGAGGAATTAAGAAAAAGTAAAAGAAGTTTTGCTAATACCAAAACTAGAACAAAACTCTAAGGAAGAGGGGCTGGAGATATGACTCAGTGATTGAGAGTAATGGCTGCTCTTGCAGAAGACCTGGGTTTGGTTCCCAGTACCCACATGGGGGCTAACAACTGTCCTTAACTGCAGTTCCAGAAAATCCGATATCCTCGTCTGGCCTCCAAAGGCATTGCACCCATGGGTGCATTTACATACATGTAGGCAAAACACTCATACACATAAAATAAAAATAAATAATAAATAATAATTTTTAGCTAGGCATGGTGGTACATGCCTTTAGCCCCAGTGCTCAGGAGGCAGAGGCAGGTGAATCAATCTCTGAGTTTGAGGCCAGTCCAGTCTATACAGTGAGTTCCAGGTCAGCTAGGGGTACAGGGATACCCTGTCTCAAAAAAATAAACAAATTAAATTGATTTTTACTTTAAGAAAACCTACAATTCAGTATCTCTCAAGAATATATGTGCAAAAATCCTCAACAAATGATAGCAAATTGAATCCAATAATGTATAAAGTATATCATGACCAAGAGAGATTTATTCCAAATATTCAAGGTTCCTTTAGCATGAAAAACAAATCTTTAAAAATAAAGGGAAGTGGGGCTGGAAAGATAGCTTATCATTTAAGAGCACTGGCTGCCCTCACAGAGGTCTCAGGTTTGGTTCCCAGCATCCAAATGGTGGCTAACAACCACCATTTACATACATGTATGCGATACACTCATACACATAAAATAAGTATTTTTTAAAAAATAATAGGAAAGAAACTTCGTTGGTAAGAGCTGAGAGATACATTCATCCTATGTGTCTTCTAGACAGCTGTCAGTAACACAAATGAACTCAGAGCAATGGTGACAGCAGGCACAAGTCCCACACAAGCTCAAACTATACAAAATCTCAGCACAGACATGGGGAAGTGGTAAGACATCCCAACACAAACTAAGGAACTAATGGCTGCTTGGAGGGACAAAGTATCTTACAGGCGTGGGACTCTTGGTGGGCCCAGTGGATGGACCCACACTGAAGGACATTTGAGGAGACAAATCAGACTCTACAGGCCATAAGAGGATATAAAATTGGGAGTATCACTGAGGGTTCAGACGGGGGGCGGGAATCTAAACATCAAATCTCTTCTTTATAATACTAGGTTGTAGTATTACAGAAAACAGCAATGGCTGAGGACTCTCTGACATCTGCAGTAATGCAAAAACCACTGGGTTTTTTTTTGGGGGGGGGGTTGTTTTTTTTTTTGAGAGAGACGGTCTTCCTGCACTGGAACTCACTATGTAGACCAGACTAGCCTGGTCTCTCTGGTATCTCTGCCTCTCAAGTACTGGGATTAAAGGCATGAGCCACCACAGAGCACATTTTTTGTATCTTTAAAATTTGAGAAGCCTGTAAACTGTAAGGTAAAAAACAAAGACTCCATACTTCGCCTTATGTATCTCTTCATCTGTAGCCGTTGTAAATATCCTTTATAATAAACCAGCAAAGGAAGGAAAGGGGGGAGGGAGGCAGGCAGAGAGAGAAGCGGGTTACAGACTTGAGCTCTGAACTAACAAAGGATCTAGATTGAAGCTCTATTGCATACTTTCTAGCTATTTTAAGAGAATAATTGAAAGTTTCAATGTCTACCTTTTAAAAATAAGATTCATACTAGTGCTCACCCTCCTCAACTGCAGTTGTGAGAAACAAATGATATAAATAAAGGTACAAATAAAAGTA